TGGAATGCAGCTTCTCATCAGCTGGAACTGTGGTTTGGAACTGGAACTCAGAGTCAACCTATCTACTCTGCACTTTAGTTCCTTTCTAATAGTTTTTAATCTGACATGCAACCAGTCCTCAAAGCTAATGATCTCGAAGTGGCCATCAGAAGCCTAATCTGGCTCTAGCCTGTGCTGGTTGTCGGGCTCTAAGCTAAAACTAGGTATAGAATCCCAAACCAGAAGGGACAGGGTTAACTAGAATAACAGATGCTGCATATAAACTATATTGCAATAAACATATGTCACATACCAATAAACTGGAAGGTGACTATACATACAATACCACAGGCCTAACCATCAGGCAGAGTGCATGTGAAATGATAACAAAGACAAAGCAGAGATAGCCTGTCTATAACAAGGAGTTAAATACACACTATAGCAGCTGCTATGAGATCATAATCCCTTCTGGCTTGGGGGTTAGCAGCATGGACAAGACATGTAGCTGAGACTTTTTCTCTCTCTCTCCACTTCCTCCTTCCAGGGTTTCAGAGTCAACAACCAAGGGACAGAAAGTGCATACATAATATATTTATAGGGTTTTACACATTAAGACAGAGGGCAGCAGATCCCTACATATATGATGTAGAGAAATCCTAAAAGGCAGTCAAAGTTTTTTTAAAAAGTGTTGTTCACAAATTTTTACATTCCAGCTTGTGCAAATAAAAAACTTTTTTTTCTAGTTTTGTATAAAGTTTATCAATTTTTTTAGTGCTAAGAGAAATTAGGTACTTAAAGAGGTTGTCAACGTTTTTTTTCCTGAAATAAAAAATAGGTTTAGATGTATCTGCTCTTTGCAATGGTAGTGCACAAAGTGGCCCTTTACCTCCTCTTCTGGTGCCCCCCACTGGTGCCCTCCGCTCCTCCTCTTCTGCATATTCCTCCATAGCAAGCTGTGTGCGGGGGTGCTGCTGAGATGGGCTGTGTGCATCCATAGACACACACAGCATGGCTCTGCCCCACCCCTCACTCCCTCGTCACAGGGGCCAATAACTCCCACTGCTCTCAATGTGTCTATGAGAGGCCAGTGCTGCTGCAGACGGGCAAAGCACTGGATCACGAGAGGAATCAGGTAAGTGTTTGGGGGGAGGTAGATTTTTTACCTTATGCAGAGAATGCAATAAGGCAAAAACATATTTGACTTTATAACCACTTTAAATATATAAATAGCTATATATATGGCGGTGTACACATATTTTATGAATATATTTATGATTATATAACTTGCATATTTTTATATGCATTTATGGAATTATAATTTACAGTTTAATAATTAATATAAAATGTGTTTATTATTAGCCTTGATGAAGGGAATGCAGATCCCCAAAAGGAGATTGCTCTCCTGGAACTTTCAATATACAGTCCAATTATATAAAGATGGCTGCGGTATGTCAGTGAAACAGTCCAATGAAAAATAGTGTGCAATGCAGTGAAATGACTGCGGTGCAAATGCACTGTTCTTTTTTTTTTTTTAAGACAAACTTTATTGAAATGTCACACAAGTTCTATCAGCTGCTGTGCTATTTCTCAGTGCTGGGCAAAGGCAGCACAATGTTCTGGTGTGAACTACATTCATAGGAAACCATTATTTTTTGTTTGCCATGCGTTGGGAATGTGTTCGCAAACACACTCCAGCACACCTGGTGTGAATGAAAAATATAAAAATATGGCAACAAAATATTTCTTCTAATGATAGTAAATCATCCATGTGAATTTGAGTTTTGTAGACATCTTTCTATAATCAATGGTAATCTTAACTATTAAAACAATGGTATATTAGAAATACAAATTCTAGCAGAAGTCCCCCTGTGTTAAATGTTGTAAACCAAAGGTATTAAAGTGATTGTAAAGGTAGAAGGTTCTTTTGCCTAATGCATTCTCTGCATTAAAGTGGAGTTCCAGCTGTTTTTGTGTTTAATAAAGTCAGCAGCTATAAAACCTGCTGACTTTTAAAAAAAACACACTTACCTGTCCAAGGGTCCAGTGATGTGCTCACCCGCGCCATCCCTTCTCTTCTTCTTCTTCTCTCCCCGGTGCCAGCATCCCAACTGTGGGCACCAGGCTGTGACAGCGTGCAGCTTCTCAATCCGGTATCCATTGCGCATGCGTGAGTCATGCTGTGCCTCTTGATTGGTCCGGCAGTCTTCTGGGACCTCTGAAGTTGCCCAGGAGACTGCGGGAGTAAGGAGGGTGCCGAACTTTGGCTCACTAAGCTGTGGTGACCTGAGCCAGAAGTGGGAGCAGGTACCTGTCATAACCAGGTACCCGATCGCCCCTCCCTCCCCAAAAGGTGGCAAATATCTAAGTGAAGGTGGGAGATGAAAAACAAGCGGAGCTTCCACTTTTGGGTGAAACTCCGCTTTAAGGTAAAAAAGTTCTGTATGCAGCTCCCCCACCCCCATTCCCCAGGGCCCACTTACACAGTACTTACCTAAGCTCAATCTCGATCCAGCACTGTGCTTGAGATCAGCAGCTCTCTCACAGGACATGGAGGCAGCAGCAAGAGCCATTGGCTTCTGCTGCTGTCAATCACAACCAGTGAGCGGAAGGTGGGGCCAAGTCAATAGAAATACATGCGGCTTGCGATTGAGCCGATTGAGCCTGCATGAGTGCCCTCATTGCAAGTAGCTTGCTATTGGACACTCGACAGAGGAGCCAGGAACGCCGGCAGGGGACCCTAAGGAAGGAGGATCGGGGCTGCTCTGTGCAAAACTATTGCACATAGCAACTAAGAAAAAAATACACTTGCAATCAGGCACACTAGCGCTTTCTTTACGATAAAAAATGCTGGATAAAAATCGCTGGTAATAATGGTTTTTAGTAGTGTTTTAGTAGTGTTTAAGAGCATTAGCTTTTTATTAGAGGTTTTACAGTACATGTAGGGAAAAAGAGAAAAGCTGTTAAGAATGTTTTTTAGTTGTGTTTAGGAGCGTTCAGCGTTTTTTTCTGCTGGCAAATCGCTCCCAAAAAACGCAAAAAAAAAACATTTTTTTTTTTCTGCTCCTAGAAGCTTGAAAAACGCTTCTAGCCAACAATAGTGTGCATGGACACACGGGATAACACTATTTGCTTCCAAGGCAGAAAAAAACTCTCATGACTAGTTGCTAGGAGCTTAAAAATAAGCTAGTGTGCATGCAACCTTGATTCCCCAAAGCTGCTAGTCTAAAATATCTGCTGAACGAAGATTTTATTTTTTTAATAAATGCACTAGTAATTGACTTGCCAACACACCTCTACTTTTTGCCCAATTAAGTTTGATTGAATATGTCTATTGAAATGCTTCTAAGGTGAATGACACGTAATTATCAGTATGCAGAAACACCACTTCAATTAAACTATTATTTCAGCTACAATACACACTTTTTCTCTCAGTGACATGCCCCTAATCACTTTAATTGTTATAGGAATAAGATTCAGTTTAATCAGATACTTATGTTAATATGTATTTATCTAATCATAAATCTAATTGTAACCACGTACATATCCATAATGCACTTGGTGCCTATATTAAATCTGTAGTCTTGCTGGGTTGCTGTATTTTGCATTCTTACAGTATTTGTGTCCTGCGGTGTTCTATATGCTGAGTTATTGCTAGCTCACACCTACTACTAGTAGAGATTTGTTTATCTGCGTGATGCACAGAATATCTAAGCACAGGGTTCCTGCATTACCTTGACATCATTGAATATAATTAGTACCATCACCGTTTTATTTGGAAATATGTGCAAATCTTTCAGTGGGGACACAGACAGTTATAAAACCTGACACGTGAGGTGAAACGTGAAGTTTGACACAGACACCAATAGAAGCCTGATAGAGGTTCCAACCCTCCCCCTCTCTGTCCTAAATCTAAAGCTGGCCATATATATCTTGTCTTTATTTGATTAGGCTGAAAAAAAAAGAAGTCCTGACAGCAGGACTGTATGCTGTGAGAATGTACTGATTGAGGAAAATTTCCAATATCCATGTTCAACAGAAGTCAATACAACAATTGACTTCTATTGAACAGGGACAGCCACACATGGGCCAAAATTCAGCCAGTCCCTGGTGAACCAGCCAAATAAAATGTGTGCTAAGAGAAATTTGAAGGCTGCCACTGAAGACATCTCCTGCCTGGCTGTCATATTGACCTTGCTTTAAGAAGAACTCTGGTCAGCGTAGAAATAAATTAAACATGGGTGTCCCTCCCATATATGCAGAGTGCAATGATCGTTTAGACTAAAGGTGATCTATTACATAGTAATATTATTCCAGTGTCATGTGGCAGCCACACTCTAGTCTCTCCTGCCCTGGAATCTGGACAGACCCTCAAAATTATGGTGGACAAGTGGTGACCACTAGTTCTGTATTGTATATGATGACATCCATGAGATGGGAGATGATTCAACCAGAGAAGAAGGGTGTCTTCAAGGACCATGGAGTAAAGTAGGTAATCCTCACTATTAGAGCTCCCTTAGATTAAATTAGAATTATATTCTGCATACACTTGTAGGGGGAAACCACATTTCATTTTATTAGGCTGACTGGAATTCAGCTTTAGATATATCCCAAGTCCCTGACCTATACCAACTATGCAAAAAAGGAGTTCTGAATTCACTCACACTTCACTTGTTCCAGGTCAGTGACTCAGTGATATTGAAGTTGATGGATCAAGAATGACTGCAAGGCAATTAGTATTTTTTTGTGGAACGTCAGTAATGGAAGCCTCCTATTTCTCTTTTCACAGGTTATCTTATGTCCCTAGGACTTGTATGAAGTCTATTAACACTTTGCTCTCAGTCTGGTATTATGGCTTAGGTTTTTGTCACGTTATATGTGACTTCGAGAGCAGCTGCTACATTATAATGAATAACAAAGGATATCAAATGTGAACAATTTTTTGCTCTTTAGGCAATAGAATTTTTAAATATATTTGTCATTTATATACATTTGTAAGAAAATAATGATTTGTTTTCCTGTAGGAGGGAACCAAGATGGGAAGTTTATGGTTGGTTATCGTGATGGTGTCCTGAGAACAGTTGTGGGTCTTGATAGGGAGACTATGGCTTTCTACAGCCTAGTGCTGGAAGCTATTGGTAAGAAAGTTTAAATACTCTTCATAGATTCTCTTGTACACTTTAGTTATATGTCCACTTAACCTAAAATACATGTAAAAGTAGTTTTAAAAAACTTAAAATATGTAATTCAGTGGAAAAAGAGTAACATTTCTGACCATTAGCAGTAAGTCAAGGTACGTGTTCCACTCTTTAATAGCCATTACATTTTTAAGGCAATTTCCATGCTTACAGTATAATACTGTAAAGCTATATGTTACATCTACATTCATGTGTTTCATTTGTTTAATGTGTTTTACAGACAATGGACCAGCGGGAAATCGGAAAACAGGAACAGCCACTGTCCTGGTGACAGTATTGGACATTAATGATAACAAACCAATCCAATCTTCCTGAAGAGCAGTTATGAGGCAACTGTTCCTGAAAATATTCCAGAATCCAGCAGCATTGTGAAGGTAAGCGAAGAATTACAACACCTAATTGCTTTAAAGGGAATGTGTGATTGTTATATACACTATATTGCCAAAACTAATGGGATGCCTGCCTTTACAAGCACATGAACTTTAATAGCATCCCATTCTTAGTCTGTAGGATTCAATATTGAGTTGGCCCACCCTTTGCAGCTATAATGGCTTCAACTCTTCTGGGAAGGTTGTCCACAAGGTTTAGGAGTGTGTCTATGGGAATGTTTGACCATTCTTCCAAAAGCGCATTTGTGAGGTCAGGCACTGATGTCGGATGAGAAGGCCCAGCTCACAGTCTCCACTCTAAAGGTGTTCTATCGGGTTGAGGTCAGGACTATGTGCAGGCCAGTCTACTTCCTCCACCCCAAACTCGCTCATCCATGTCTTTATGGGCCTTGCTTTGTGCACTGGTGTGCAGTCATGTTGGAACAGGAAGGGGCCATCCCCAAACTGTTCCCACAAAGTTGGGAGCATGAAATTGTCCAGAATGTCTTGGTATGCTGACGCCTTAAGTGTTCCCTTCACTGGAACTAAGGGGGAAACCCAACACCTGATAAACAACCCCGCACCATAATCCCCCCCCCCTCCACCAAACTTTACAGTTGATACAATGCAGTCAGACAAGTACTGTTCTCCTGGCACCTGCCAAACCCAGACATGTCCATTGGATTGACAGACAGATAAGCATGATTTGTCACTCCAAAGAGCACGTCTCCACTGCTCTAGAGTCCAGTGGCAGTGTGTTTTACAGCAATGCATCAGACGCATTGCAATGCACTTGGTGATGTAAGTCTTGGATGCAGCTGCTTGGCAATGGACACCCATTCCATGAAGCTCTCTACACACTGTTGTTGTGCTAATCTGAAGGTCATGTGAAGTTTGGAGGTCTTTAGCTACTGACTCTGCAGACAGTTGGTGATCCCGATCTGTCATTTTACATGGCCTACCACTTCATTGCTGAGTTGCTGTTGTTCTCAGTTGCTTTCACGTTGTTATACTGTTACTGTTATTATACTGTTATGTTATCAGAAAACAATGCTAATATGTTTGTTGCCTTATCATAACATTCTCCATCTGGTCAGCATTACTAACTATTGGTATTGGTGTTATACGTTTTACAGGTTACAGGGAATTGTATGGTTGGTTTCAATATTGCTAATGAGACGCATCCTTTTTGCCATTTTTTTTGGGGGGAGGGGGGGGGACATGATGTACTTAAGACTTCACTTGCTTTTAGTAAAAGGCTGTTTGGTTCCTATTGCCCCCTTCACTATAGGTTCTAAAAATGAAAGCAACACTCTATGAACTTGTTGGGTGTTGTAACAATAGTTGCATTCCTAGGGAAGATTGCGGGTGCAATGTGTACAGTTGCTGTTGCTGCAATAAATTATATCTTATTCAAACATAGGTCAGTACTTAGTAAAGTAGATGTTCTTGAGACAAATAATGTATCGGGTGCTAGACATTCTTCAGTTTTATGTCAGTTGGGATAAAAAGCAGTTTTTTCTGTATTAGGAAACTATTAACCATTGCATCCATCCACCTCACCAAAACCTCAAGAGTTGTGCTGCTTCATTATGCGAACTTTTTGGTAACTTTATGCATCTGTGTAAATAAACTCCGGACATGTCATAATATACAGCATTTTCAGGATACAATGTACCTTTTTATTAATAAAAAGTCAAATTTGTGCTCCAGTCCAATTCATATTTCCAGGCTGAGATGGTGTCACCGGTGTGCTGCAGGCAGAAGGAGACATTTGCTCAGTCTCCTCTGCCCTAGCAATCAGCCTGTAACATTGTAACTTTGCATCAAATCACAAGGTGACATGCTGCAGCAGGAGCTGATATGTGTCAGACATTTGAGAACACAGCAATAACCTGCACAGGCACTAAGACTTTACATTACTGTGTCAACTCTGTCATAGTAGTACAGTAATCAGAAGCTCACCCTGGGTGATGCTTGAACAAACATGGCTCCATTCTATTGGAGAGAAAAAAAAACAAATTTAATTTTTTTTGTTTGAGGAAATACCATGCTCTCTCTGTTAGGAGATAAACACCTTGACGTGTCACGCACTTTGCTTTGCTTAGCATGCTTGCATTTATTATGAAAAAAATGTCTGATGCTTTGATCACTTTGAAGAGGTGTGTGTATATTTTGTTTAGTAATTTATGTCATTTTCTTATAAATAGGAAACTTGTTTTTTTTCACAAATGGAATTTATAGCAACAATGATACTAAATAAAAAAAACACAAAAAAACGAAGCTCTGGTAAAATCATGCCATTCACATTTTATCTTTAAAAATGTCCAAAGTCTGTTTTTTATAATTTCCTTTTGAAGAATAATATATTGACAAGGAGAGCATAATCATAAATATGTGATAGTTTTATAATAGTTGGTTGTTAAAGGGTAACTCCACTTTTGAGGGGGAAAAAATGAGCAGTTTAAAATCCTTGCAATGTACATAGATCACACAGAGGGGAATGTTCAGCCCATTTTTCCATTTTCAGCACTATTGTGATACTATAATAATTACTCTGTTGCTGTATCCAGTTTTATATAGTTTTTTTGAGGCAGAGCTTTCTTTTGGTGATATTTAATCACCGCTATTTTTTCACTACATAAAGCAAAAGAGTGGAAATTTTGAAAATAAATATATATATATATATATATATATATATATATATATATATATATATATATATACAGTTGTGTTCAAAATAATAGCAGTGTGTTGAAAAAAGTGAATAAAGCTCAAAATCCTTCTAATAGCTTTTATTTCCATACACACAAATGCATTGGGAACACTACACATTCTATTCCAAATCAAAACATGAAGAAAAATATATCAAATTTGTGTTGTTCCTCTAAAAAATTTGAAGAAAAGTGAATATTAGACTGTTCAAAAAAATAGCAGTGTTTGTATTCTTCTTTACAAACTCAAACATTCACTATATAAACTGAAAAATGTTTGAAGATTTTGCTTTCCTTTGAATCACTTAATTAATATTTAGTTGTATAAGCACTGTTTCTGAGAACTGCTGTACTTCTGTGTTGCATGGAGTCAACCAACTTCTGGCACCTGTGAACAGGTATTCCAGCCCAGGATGATTGGACTACATTCCACAGTTCTTGTCTATTTCTTGGTTTTGCCTCAGAAACTGCATTTTTGATGTCACCCCACAAGTTTTCTATTGGACTAAGATCCGGGGATTGGGCTGGCCACTCCATAACGTCATCTTGTTGGTCTGGAACCAAGATGTTGCACGTTTACTGGTGTGTTTGGGGTCGTTGTCTTGTTGGAACACCCATTTTAAGGGCATTTCCTCTTCCACATAAGGCAGCATGACCTCTTCAAGTATTCTGATGTATTCAAACTGATCCATGATCCCTGGTATGCGATAAATAGGCCCAACACCGTAGTATGAGAAACATCCCCATATCATGATGCTTGCGCAACCATGCTTCACTGTCTTCACAGTGTACTGTGGCTTAAATTCAGTGTTTGGGGGTCGTCTGACAAACTGTCTCCGGCCACTAGACCCAAAAAGAACAATCTTACTTTCATCAGTCCACAAAATGTTGCGCCATTTCTCTTTAGGCCAGTCAATGTGCTCTTTGGCAAATTGTAACCTCTTCAGCACATGTCTTTTTTTCAACAGTGGGACTTTGCGGGGGCTTCTTGCAGATAGCTTGGCTTCACATAGGCGTCTTCTAATTGTAACAGTACTCACAGGTAACTTTACACCTTCTTTGATCTTCCTGGAGCTGATTGTTGTCTGAGTCCTTGCCATTTTGGCTATTCTTCTATCCATTCGAATGGTAGTTTTTTGCTTTCTTCCAGGTTTTGGTTGCCATTTTAAAGCATTTGCGATCATTTTAGCTGAGCATCCTATCATTTTCTGCACTTCTTTATATGTTTTCCCCTCTCCAATCAACTTTTTAATCAAGGTACGCTGTTCTTCTGAACAATGTCTGGAACAACCCATTTTCCTCAGAATTTCAGAGAGAAATGCACTGTAACCAGCATGTACAACATTTGCTGCCTTCCTTCCTTAACCACTTGCCTACCGGCACTTATACCCCCTTCTTTACCAGGCCAATTTTCAGCTTTCAGTGCTGTCGTACTTTGATTGACAATTGTGCGGTCATGCAAGATTGTACCCATATGAAATTTTTATCATTTTTTTCTCACAAATAGAGCTTTTGGTGGTATTTAATTGCCACTGAGTGCTTTACTTTTTGCACTATAAATGAAAAAAATGCAAAAAATTTGATTAAAAAAAAAGTTTCTTTGTTTCTATTATAAAATTTTTCAAACAGGTAATTTTTCTCCTTCACTGATGTGTGTTGATGAGGCAGCACTGATGGGCACTGATAGGCGGCACTGATGGGCACTGATAGGCAGCACTGAAGGGCACTTATAGGCAGCACTGATAGGCAGCACTAATGAGGTGGCACGGATAGGCGGCACTGATAGGCAGCACTAATGAGGTGTCA